CAAAATAAATACCTCTAGGTGCTCATATCACAACCACTTAGTAAGCGGATAGCGAAGGACACTCAAAGGAAGGAGGACAACTTATGTCTGGAGAACAACAAATGGGTAAGAGTATTATGTAGTGGCAACAGCAAGCGCGGCAACCCCCATCGACTACTTTCTTTTGAAATGTTCCAGCAACGCTCACGGATCGGCGACACCATGCAAGCAGTTTGAGTTTGTGGCCAACCTTCCTTTGGCTTTTTATCATGCATGATTTTCCCTGTAGACACATTGATAGCTGACTGTTGCTTTTTGATACTGATCACTTGTTACCCCCATTCATTTGAACTTTTCACTAATACCATGTAACCGGTTGAATAAGGCTACGCGAAATAAACAGGCTTCAGATCGTCCTGCCGAAATGTTTTTTCTTCTAACACTTTTGAATTACTGATCTAAATCTGGTTCCTTTTTTAACAATAGTTTCCTCTTCATACAATTCCTTGTTGCTCTGTCCGTCGCAGAGGATAATCAACGGTGCTGTTGCATCGAGTGGGGTGGAGAGGAGTGAGAATGTCATTGTTCAGGCCTTCCTGTCTTTTTATCTCCTTTTTCGCGCTTCTCATACTCATCATCCCCTTCCAACTTTACTTCTATTTCAAAAGTTTTCAACTCTCCATTTTTGACCCCCCCCCAACATGCTTCCATAGGCGAATGTCTTCTTGTTTCAACTCACAAGCAAACGCGGAGCGTCACTCCTACCTAATCGACGTCCATCTAAACAGACAATATCAGTTCGTCTGTTTCTATTTAGAGTCCTTGATCCTCCCTAAGACTAGCATATCCTAATGTGCGCACTTGGTTACAGATTGACCAGGGGGCGATTCCAGTAATGGCCGTATTACTTCACTTATACATTTTTGTTATCTACACTTATTATCTTTTAAAAACCAATTAACATGTCCGCCAAAAAGCTTAAAGACTGCTTTGGAAAATTCAAAAATATAATATCTGCACCTTGCGATTCTGCCGCGCACCAAGCATCGTAATATCCAGTTGGACTGTACCTCGCACCGACGAGAGCTATACCTTCGTTTTGTATTCACCACAAATTCCTATTGTCCATGCAAAAACACGGTACTACCTGTACATATATGATCTGTGCCAAATATATACGCAGTTTCTCTTTTATAGAGAAATATACCCATTATTGTTATTAGTGTATAATAAGTAACACTTACTTGAACACTAATGACCTTATCGATCGACATCTGCTGTTTACCGGAAACCCGCCTGCAAGATTCGAGTTCTGTGATTACGCTGCTATCCCCATCTTGCGGCACTGGTGGTATTTTCTCATGTCGGGAGATGACGCGTCTTCAAATGTCAGCCAAACCAATGTGAGCATTGGCCTAAGTCAGCGGGCCGAAGCTACCCTGATCGTTTGGATCCTAGTGAACAGGCGGGTGTGGGTTGCAGATTGCCCTGCTCGTTCAGGGATTCGAAATCGCGCGGGGACAAACGGCGCTTGTTTGTTATTGCAGTCTACTCACCCACAAATTTTAGCACTGATTTCTATCACCTGCTTAACGAATTCATTCGTTACAGGAGTTTGTATATTGTGGTGCCTGCTGGTGGTCTGAACACCCTCGTTGGAAAATTGTTTTCTGATGAGCAGCATTCGGGCAGCAAACACGGTTCAGATTCCCGTATTGATAACGATGGACGGTTGGCACGCCTATGTTAAGATGCTCATTTCTTTCTCTCGAGCACCAACTTCGGACACAGCCCCCGCAGAAGGCTGACGTGGCACCCAACTGCCATGGACACAAATCGATCACATCGCGATCAGTGACCGCTGGAGAGGCTGTGTTCAAAAATGTCACTTGATTTGGAGCACGACCATTTGCGTTGATTACGCAGTGGTTTGCATCGACCTGCGAGTGCGTCTCTGCTGATGTCCGCAACGGCACTGCTAGCGCATATGTATTTGCCAATTGGCGAAGTCCGATGTTCTGAATGCGTATCAAAGTACCCTGGCATCCGAGCTGAGAAGGCGCTCACTGTACACAGTCAAAAATTACTGGTCGCATATCAGGCAGATGTACTTAACAACAGACACATCTTCATTTGACAAACCAAATTGCCAACCTGAACATGAGGTCTTGACGCATTCTCTGGAACTTCTGTATGCTCACCGACGTCTTCCGGCTGGAAGCGAACATAATCAAACTTTCCAAGATCTCAGAACAGAGCTGCGTGCTAGCCTGAAGAGTCCTGGTGATCTCATCATGCCTCGGAGACAGCCGCTGCCTTTGGTAACTATCAGAAATTATTTCCTCTGAAACGGGCAACAGGAGACCTAGTGTTAGCCAGACCATACGCGACGAGAATGGACAGACGATCTACAGCCTATCAAATCACTTGAAGTGTACAACCGATCACTTTAAGAAGCAGTCTAATCAGTCAGAGTTGCCAGCTTCTCTATCAGCCATTGATCGCCCTTCTCTCTGGGCCGACCCCACAAACAGAAATCGAACGTAAGGTCAGACGGTTGAAATTGAACAAGTTCGTCGGATCAGATGGACTTCATCTAGCCCTCATCGAATTCAGAGGAACTGCTCTTATGGATGGTTTACATAACTTACTGCTGGATTTATGTGAGCAGCAGACTGGCGCAGCTTTATTATAGTCCCAATTTTAGCGGTAGGCTGATGTCCGGAATGCAGTAATAATAGAGGAATCAGTCTATTGTCCATTGCCTCTAAGTTACCTGCCTCTCTCATCTTTCATAGAGTGGCTGACACCCCTGAACGCCAGGTACGCGAGGATCAAGCTGGGTTCCGTCGAAATCGAGTCTGCATTGGCCACATCTTCGCATCACGTCAATTTTTGGAGCACCGCCATGTTTCTTGGCGATCCACTGTAGTCGTGTTCCTAAGCATTATAAGTGCCTTTGATTCAGTGGATCGATGTGCCTTTTGGGACTCTCACCTGAGGAAAGGTTGCCCGATAAATATGTAAACATTGTGAGTGCGCTGTACGCGCATAGTTCGGACAGAGTGAGGATTTATGGCAAACTGTCGCCGCCCTTAACTCTCTCCAGCGGTGTGAAACAAGGTTGCCCACTGCCACCTTTCCCCTTTTACTTCACCATTGATGAAGCCATGGAAACGGCGTTCACTAGGCACGACCTACAAGCTGTAGAGCTGCTCCGAAGTGGCCGAATTTTTGACTTAGATTACGCCGATGACAGCGTCCAAATGTGCCAAGCATCACTGGAAAACTTAGCTCTGGCTGTCAGGCTTTTCGGCCTGTGCCGTACACCATCGAAATGCAAATTACTTCTCTAACAATGGTAAGGACAAACTCCTGCGCAAATCCTTGGTGGAGTTCAGCTAGAAGTCGTCCAGAAATTCAAATATCTTGGCAGTTGTAATCGCGCTCGTGGCATCAAAAACTATATCCCGAACTCTATTGCATAAGCTCGAGGCGTTTTTGTTAGTGTCCATCACTTATGGCACCGGTGCGACATCACCTTCACTCTGAAGGGCAGAGTGCAATGCAGCCGTCCGTTTAACCCTCGTACGGTTGCAAAATCTGGCCCATTAACTTGAGAGACATAAAAAGGCTTGTTACCTTCGACCATCTCTAATGTCACAGTTTAACTCATGTTCAGTAGGGACACTGCGTGAGCAATGAGCGTGTTCGGCGTCGCGTATTTGGTGCAGGAAGAGCGAGTGAACCGCTCAACACCGTTATATCATGCACCAGGCTCTGATTGATGGGCAACGTGTTGCGATTGCCAGCACGCCGACTCCCGCATTATGTGTTGTTTGCGCACTCAGGCTTTGTTGGTGTTTCTTGACTGTCTGGCCGGGGTCCGAAGGATGATGAACAGGTATGGTTGGATACACTAGTTGACTTGGCTAGGAGCCAAACACGACGGCTTTTCTGTTGTGAGTTTCTTAGTCTCTCCCATCTCATTTAGCTTTCCTCCCAACAACGATCTCATACCCAATGCATAATATGATATTTAGCGTTATATCGTTTTAGTCTTTGTAGTCTATTACCTGTAATATCTTATATTTTGTGTTGTGGCACAGCTGAGATGTGTTTTTCACCCTCAGCTAACATGTACTGATGATAATGATCCTTTTTCGCTTTTATCAACTGGTGTCACGTTTGAGTGGTCTTGTTCGCATGGCATGGCGAGAGTGGCCGGCTCACGCTAACAGATTTGACAAACGATCGGCGAGTACCGTTCGATTTTCGATAACGTACCGAAGTGACGGGACGTAGGTGATCCCGTGTATTGGCTAAACAACGGCACCGGTCGAGGTGAAGCTAGCTAGGGAAGGATGTGAGCGACTGCACGATTTAGCAGTGTGTTGAATCCAACACTGGCACGGTGTTTGTGTATTGAGTGTGTGTTGGGTCAGATAAACAACTTAGACATACATTTAAGCAATCTGCAAACAACCTCCAGGTGTACTCTTAGCTCTGGGTATGAAAAATATGTGGCTTTACTCAACACTATCGAAAATACCTAAGCCAAACGGAGGCTCCTACGTTTTCATATCTTACTGCGCATAACGTGTCGCATATTCCATGCGTTGTAGTAACTTCATTCTTTTAATTATGATAACTATTTTTCAACATGAAATCCAATTTGATGTATGCTGTATTTTCTCACTGGACACTTGGTGGTAGGGAAAGGGGAGATAATGATAATTAAAAGCATATATTTTAAACCTGGATTGTGCTGAGAGAATAAAATTTTGCTAGTGATTCACTAAAGAGCACGTCACTGACAAAAGTGTGATTACGAAATAGGACGGAGAACCGTTGTATTGTGGCGTCGATTTCACCGGTCCCTCTGGTGCACATGTCTTCCCGTCACGTTTGTCTTCAACCTCGTCTTAGTGAGAACACTCATATCGTTGGTCCACGATATTCCTTCATTATATGATGTATCCAAAAGGTAGTTCCATCTATCTCCTTAACTTCCTTTGCAGATTTGTATTCTATCCACACCATTAGTCGTTCCCGCCACTTGGATTCCGCTTTTGACGAATTGCCTGAGTACACCACTGGAAACTACTAATAACCTGCGCATCAGGATTTTTCTGCTGTACACATTTTCCTTGCTCACAAAATTTCACAGTGTATAGTCGAAGAATTGCTCCTTGCAACCGGATTACGGTTGTCTTTTAACCCATCTCACTTCTTTTGCATTTCTTCGTGCCTAGTTACACTACTTTGTTCCATCATTTGGCACTTTTCCGTTCACACTTACCGCGTGCATTGATTACTTTGGTAGTCCCTCTGGGTCGTCGACACTCCACTACTGATATAGGGTACTACCAGTACAGGGGACTTAAACTATCAGAGAGAAGCCTATACTCGTTACTGACTACATTCACTGCTTGCGATGAAAAGGCTCTGAAGTGTAGACCACATGTTTGCAGCCGAGTGATCTGCATTTCTCTATTTCTATGCCCCCTACTTCGTACAACTCCACTTTTATTGAGAAGGAAATCCTGCCTACCGTTGAAATAGCATCTAACCCGTTAACTGTTCGACCATACTTTCATGAGATGTAGCTTTTCGAATCCGTGTCGCTTGTTCATTGCGCAATCGTGTGCCACGGTTTGGCTGACTCCCACGTACTAAACTATAGTGCGTACTTGTAACATGAGAATACTTCCTCCACAATCTGTGTCCCGTCTAATTTCACGTTGTTCACGTGACTGGATGAAGATAATGGTTATCCCAATCTTTTTAAGTAATCTAGAGGTCGTCGGTTTGAATCTGCGTATGCGCGGGCGACCTCGCGGTATAATTAGCCCACGCATATCAGCAAGGCGTCGGTGCGATGTGCCAGCGCACCGCTGACGCTACTCCGCAACAATTAGATTCAGATCAAGTATTACGTTCTGGCATCCACTTCTGTTGGCTTTCTCATAGTTCCGTTACGTACTCTCTGTATCAGAATCTCACCGTACGGCAAAGGGCAGGTTAGTTGTCTTTTCTCAGAACCTTCCAGGTAAAGGAGGTCGTGGTCTGGGGAAAATGCAGTATTACGGAACGGCTACCTGTCAGTATTGCTTCACTTTTTCTGCTCACCTCTCTGTTGCGTCATGTTTCGTTTCCCTTCACAAGGCTGCACCCTTTGATCTATATCGTCATGGTTGTTCAGATACGGACTGCGTTGCCCTACTTAACTTACCGTATGTATCCTGAAAGACCATATTGGGTCTTGCCCGCCTCATCACCGAGGACCAGAAGGTGGAACGCTACCATCAACTCCAGCATTGCATGAGTACTTTACACCAATTCCTCGCTGCGTATAAACCTTGGGGTCCAAGCCCTGTGGTAGTAACGACGTTGGTGACATCCGTTTACGGAGATCGTAGCCGAATTGGCCTAAGACTGGAGAACACGTTAAGCCCGTAACGCGCAGACTATATCATGTTCATCTTCCCATCAGCGGCAGTAAATCAGCCATTCGGACTGATGTTCCGCTATCATACAACCACAATGATCTAAGGAATGAACTATGCTAGGCAGGCGAGAAGGGGTCCTAGCATGAAGCTTAATCACCTTAAGCAAGCATTTGTGTCAAAGCGCCTACACCTTGCCAACAACATGCGGTTGCAAACGACTGGTTGTCGTGCAAATATAAGACGATATCGAAGAGACAAGTTCCTTGCAACTTGCACCACTCAGTGTCATAATCAGCCGCTACCTCGCAGATAACTCAGCACCAAACACACTTTAAACAGGTGGTCCGACTAGGAGGCGGCACCAAACACGCCATTGTTGCGGGTTGCGATCCATGTCTTGTAATATCTCGAGCCTACAACAAGTTAGGTCACGTTACATCTTGCCTGGACTACAAGGTTTTCCAGTGGCACACAGTTTTGTATTCGATGATTTTATTGTTCACTGCCAAGTCAACTTTTACCCACCTCGAGTCTTGCGCCACCTTACCTACGGCAAACAACACATTGCCCTGATTGGTAAGCAGTGATCAAGCATACGCAGTACGTGCCAAAGCGAACGCAACTTATTCAGCACTGTCTGTTATACTGAAGAACTAGCGTAATTATCCCTGGTTATTTCTCTCCTACGCATATCATTATTGCGGATAAGTTGATGACATCTGAAATCTGCAGTGCTTCGCAGCCAGCGATGATCAGAAACTCGAAGGGGCAAAGTCTCATTCCCATGGAGTAGGACGACCCTCACTGTCGCCTTGTACACGCGGGAGACCCTCTTTATAACGGAATATGTCACAGATTCAAAAAGGTAATGCATGAGCTGACTTCAGTGCTTGTGCGTCCATCTTTGCGGATGCAGCTGCTGAAGTAAGCGAATTCATCAGCTTCCTCGAGATGCACGCAAACAAGCATCAATGGGTTATCAACTTGCTGGTGGTCTTGAAACAGCACTTTGCACTTTAAATCTGCGAAACCCATACCATATGATGGGACCAATCTACAGAGGTTATTCAGCGTTAATGGGGACACCTCAGTATTTAGTAACAGCTAGATAATATCGTCCGCATAATCAAGATCAAGTAATTTTTACTACGCATCACCGCAACGTCTGCATGGTAAGATTCCGCAAGGAACACTCCATAACAGAATCCACAACGACGTTGAACAAAATTGGGCAACCCTGACACGCTGTGTTGCTGAAATAATTCAGACAAATGACCGTAGACTGATACGACCTGTGGTGCTCGGCCAGCTGGAAGGTACATGTTTACCTATTTCGTGGGAACACCACTCCGCACGAATTTTTCGAAAAGGATGGGGCCATGGAAGTAGCGGTGAATTCTTCTACCCTGCGAACTTGACTGTGCGCAATTGATCGGAGAATGACGGGCATTCCAACTTAAAATTGTTTTACCATTGCTTTCCGTTTAACGGCAAAGTATATAAGTAATTTTATGCCGTAAGTGACCAATGAACCTCGCGTTAAACCTGATAAACCAGAAGATGCGGGACATTACATGAGTATTCCGTGTGAGCCTCCATAGTTAGTAAAGGCACGTAAGCAATATCGCAGCTTGCTAATGTCTTACAAGCACCAAATTAAGGCATACTGGCACACAAGTAAATCTCATATGCACAGTTGCACAAACGTGTGCCTTGGTGTTCCACCCTAACCTACAATACTGTGCAAGAATGATATTGGAATGCAGAGAGGCCTTCCTGTAGATGCATAAACGTATAACTATTTTAGTTTTAAATTTTGCATGTTATCTTTGCGCATTGGACATCGCAGTCTATATTGTTCCCAGTTTAGTATATGTACCGCCGGAACGAATACGAAAGTCGACGCACCCACGTTTGGAACTCCGACCGCACTGCTCGCAATCCGGCACGCTACCACTAAGCTTTATTCGGGTTGTGCATGCCGCTTATATGTTAGCTGAAAAACCGTCCATCAAAGCAGTATTCGCAAAAATCAAAGTTCCTCACACTTTTTCGTGTTTAAAGGTTAACGAAGCTGCTTAACATGATTTCAGCACTTTTCTCACTAGTTTTTGCATACATTAGTCACTACAGGTGGTAGAAGAATTGTCCACTGCCGGTCATGGATTGAACCGAACACGCTTTTGAAGTCAGAAAACAATAATCGTAAGCGTGCTGTACTTGTGGCACTGTTCCAACGCCTGCCGCAGACTGAATATGTGTTCCATACAGACTTGTCCTGTACGAAAGGTGCCTGCACTTCCCTAATCCGTGATTCCCGTTCCGCAGTAGATCGTCGGATGCGAATTGAGGCCAGTAACCTTGTCACCACTGTCGTAAAACATACACATTATATATATATATATATATATATATATATATATATATATATATATAGTTGGCGGCATCCGGTTCCGGATGTGCCTGTCACTGTGGCCAGCCACACGACTCATGCACCTATAGAGGACCATGGGTGGCTTGCGCTGCATCACCCGCACACCCCATATCTAGTGTAAACCCGAAGGAATAAGACCGGGAGGCATGTGGATGAGAGTCACGTTTCATCAACGGAGCCGATCCACGCTCCTTCACAAGCAAACACATGCACGCTGTATTTGAGAATGAAGCACACAAGGTGGTAGCTGGACAGTAGTCCGTTCCACGCCGATTGCATGGAACTACTCTCCAAGTCTAGCACGGCCACGATGACCGTGCACCTGGTCCTCTACAGCAATGATCAACTGTTTTCCAGAGCCAGTATGGACGACCTAGTGGGTACTAGAAGGGTACGTGCCCTATCAATATACACATTAAGCGCAACCACACTGGGGATGTCAACCAACGGCTAATCACTTGAAATGGCAATGTTAAATAAAATATATCGAATGGAGCATAAGGATATGCCGAAATAACTCTTCGCTAAATGAGCATATGAAATAAATCGGTTATCAACAAATCCGCGATAAGTTCAAGATGTCAGAAAATGTACTTAAATAGTGCCACAGACTCGGAAAAGTTAACCAAAATTAGCTTAAGCGACATGTGCCAGTTAGCAAACGATTGTTCAGGTAGTCATTAAGATGAGGTAAAAAAGCATTAAGACAATATAGCAAACCAACCAATTGAAATCAAGGAACTCAAAACCCAAGCACACGATTAGTAAATGGAATGGTAGGTCATGCAGCGTACCTATCTTCGTGATCCGTCGCGGCACGTACGCGGATCAACACTTCGTTTCCCAGCATCTGAAATCAAACTTAGAACATGATAGGCTCACCTTAAGCATGTCCTGGTAACGAAGCTTCTGTTTGTAGCGCCCCAAAAGACAACTAATATCTTAGTGTACTATTTCACTGACGACTAACTGTACACGATTCATTCTTGTTTTAATCTCATTTACATTACCTCTATGTTGACCTACATCCGGCTAGACACTTGATCGTCTTGTAAGTTCCCGCGCTCACATGTTTGCTCTTGTCTCGCTCCATCCGTCTACGTCTTCTTGTAGCCCATTAAATCCAGTCTGCTATGTCCGACTCCAATTGTCTTCTGATATCCGCGCTTACTTTGGCGCACCGTTTTGGACTAACATTTACTAGTCTTACAGCTTACCTCGCATGCCGCTTCCGCACACTCAGCTGACCATATAAGAGTTGTTTCGGTATCCTCGTCGAATCCCTACGGCACTCATGACCGAGCCACCTCAGGCGTCTCAGCAAAAGTATACAGTCCAATGCACA